TGAAGGCTAAATCTCCTATATCACCAAGTCTGTGAACCCAGTAGTTCAGCTGTTTCCTGTTTCTCTTGCTCCAAGTCTGAAAATCATATTTTTCCTTTTCTAAATTGAGTTTCAGTGTCACGGGATAGCAGTGGACTGTATGGACCATTGTTTTTAACCACAATATGATGCTATTTGCCTCATTTTTAAAGAGATTGAGCATTTCAGTCTCTGCTGAATACAAAAAATGGATGAGCTGATGACCCACTATTTGCATGGCTTCCAAATCTTACATATCAGCAATATGGGATTTGACTTGGATCACATTTGACGTGCTCAGTTGGTCGGTGTTAATAACGCCAGGGTCATGGGTTCAATTGCCCCATGGGCCATTCACTTAAGAGTTGACTTGATTATCCTTGTGGGTCTCTTCCCCAGAATATTCTGCGATTCCTGAGGACAAATTTGAGTAAGCTGCAAAAATATGTGCAGGTTGTGATCCCATGACTAGACAGTGGAGTGTGGATCCTGTGTGCACATAACTATTCATCCTAATAAGGAAAAAAAAAATGAAACAGTGAAACTAATTGTGTAAACACAGCTGCAATACAAACAGGACTCTCTTAAGTGTGATTTTGTCAGGAACTGGAAAGGAAGTAATAGTTTCTATCATCTATGCTAAAAATTTCTGATGCGAGTAGTTTCTAAGTCAGCTTATGAAAACCATTTCTGGTGTCTCAAGTATGATGTAACCTGCAGCTTTGTGCACACTGTGCACATGGTATCTTGTCATTCCACAACAGTTTTCTGCAAGTATTTAGAGAAAAGCACTACAACAGTCAACATTCCAGGTTATCTCAGCCAAGTAAGAAAAACAAGCACTAAAAATAAGTTCAGAACACAGATATTGCTCACACTTGAGATAATGTACCTGGCTTCAAAACTGGCTCACCTAGCCAGGTCTGGCAGTTCTAGCTCTTTAAAATCCAGTCTATACCAGTTGCAAAATCACTTCAGCTAAACCAGCTTTAAACTGTTTAAAAACTTCTGCTACTTAAGATGGGCCACAATTGCTATAACTCAGAATGACATAAGGATGAGATGAGGAAAATTTGGCAAAATAAGCACAGAGCAGTTAAAAAGAAACATGTTATCTAGGGTAGGAGTAAAGGAGTCAACACAATTTTTAATCACTAGAGCATAAAATGTCAGAGCAACAATCTTTTATTTTTTTTGTTTCTGTATTTCTTTGAATAAAAAAAATAAAGCTTTTGTTTAAAAAAATATCAACATGAGGCCTTAAGACCTTACATATTCTAATTTTAGCATGGAAAGTCTATTTTTACAACCATGTTAGAAATTCTGTATATAGGCCTGACTGACCTTGTAAGTGGAGTGGTGCGAGCAGCTAATCATGCAATATTGTAAGGCTCTGTAGAACAGCAAATGCTGATTTAGTTTGATTATTGGTACAAGAACTCCTGCTCACTGCCTGTGTAGACTCTGCATACTTTATGCTTGGAAATACAGTCCAGAACATACTCAAACTGTGAATATATAACCTGATTTTTCTTTTCTTAAGGATAAAAATATATTACAATAGGTAATATTTTATATAGAATACAGTACTTATTTTTATTGTTGCATAAATGCAAAATATTTTTTTCAGAATAGCAAAGCATTATGGAATTTTTAATCTGCTGGAGAAAACACTATTTACTGTATGACCAGTTCTTTCAGCAAAGCTTTTGGGGTGGTATATACCAACTGGCTCTGCCAGCTTCATTTTGTGCTGATGTTTAACTTGGGCATTGCTGTAAAAAAAAAAAGCTATTTTTTCACTCATACTAGCCATTATTGAAAGAGGCAATGAGAATCATGTTTCACCCCTGTGGCTGGGCTAGTGTTGGCAAAAACAATGATTTGCATCATATCATTGTCTTTGCTAGTTAAAATTCTTTAAAAATCATACCTGATGTAATAAAAATGCAAGATTTTGACAAACATCAAAATGAAGCACTGCAGTTTACAACTTTCTAGCTTTGAGTGTGATATTTTTGTCATAAACATTACAGGCATTGGGCTGTTGAATGAATCTGGCTTTCATGTAGCTAAACAAAATGTTGCTTTTTATAAAATCAAATCGTTGTAATTTGGGGTTCTAAATTCCTGCTCACTTTTAATAATAACAGCGTCACAGTATCCACTTCTACAAGAGTATTTAATACAAATGCCTGTGGTTTTCAATGTTACTAACATATTGTAACATCAGTAAAGTGACTTTCAATGACAAAGACTCTTGTGTGTATTTTGTTCTCCTTCGCTGTATTTAGCACTTTCTGTTTTATAGGTCTCTATAAAATAGAGATGTTGCATGTGAGGGAGAAGGCTAGTAGAATAATATAGATGTTATTTTTCAAATTCCAAGGTTGAAAATGATCCAGTGACCTTCTCAAACCTTTATCTTAGGGGCCTACTGTTCTCAAAGCAAATCTAAAATTACTATTCCTTAGTTTGCCTGTTTGAGGGCAACCTAGGAAAAATACCTATTTGAAACTATGCCTAGTGGTTGGCTCAAAGGTCAAAAGCAATCACCCCATATAAGTCTCCTGTGTCACATGAGTATCCTTCCCAGGTATTCTGAGAATAATAATACCTGTTTCTCTAAAGCAAGTAACTTGCATATTCAATCCGTCCACTGAATCTACTCTTAATGGGGAAGTAATTTTTGAAAAGGTTTCAAGTGGCTTTTTTTTTAGCTAGGACAGCAAACTCTGTACTAACTCCTTAGCATCTGCATGTATTAGCTTAGCTTCTCTCTAAACTTTAAAGATTACGTATCTCATCAGTCCCTGTGAATACACTTGATTTTTGAAATGTTGATGTAAAACAAACAACTATTTTTTCTGGAGGAAGCCAGAATTTTCTCCTGGTTTTGGAACTATTTTTTTTCCCAGTTTTCTCTGGATTATGTTTGCAAGACTACAAAACCCTATTGGTTCACAGTTTTCTTGCAGCATTTCACTATAACTGGCTGGTACCAAAATATGGATTCAGCCTGGGGAAAAAAACTGGGCAAGATGTGAATTTTTGGTCCTTGGGTCTTGAGTGCTTTGGCCCACTTGAGTCAGCTGTCCTCACTGAATTCCTACCCAGCCTCTTGCCCACACTCAGCCTATTCACTGTGACTGCAGAGTGAGAAACTGAGAAGACCTGGACACTATGCAAGCACTGCCCAGCAAGAGCTGAAACATTTCTCTGTTATTGCTGCTGATCAGTTACAAATCTGAACCTTTGCGCTGCTGTACAGAAAATTAATTCTATCCCAGCAAAGCCACTACAAGACCAGAAACCCAACTAAGCAGAAGTAAAGATGTGTGGGAAAAGAACATTTTGGTAAAGATCTCTTACTATTCTTAGGGTAAAATTAAGTGTAAGGATGAGCACTGTATATATACAAAATACTCAAATCCCTAGAGGAAGAACAGCCTTTTTTCACATGCTTACCAACCTTGTCAGCTGTCAAAGGTTTGAACTGCTGTAGAACTGATGTCTGCTACACTCTGACAAACCTTTGTGGATTTTGGTCTCTCCATTAGAAATACTTCTAATGTATTCCATTAGAATACTAATGTATTCCATGTTTCCCAACCTTATGTGCAACAGGACAACATATAGAATGTGAATCTATAATGCTGTCTTTGCCTTTGAAATTCATTATAAGGGCAGAAAGAGAACTAGCTTCTGTAATGAAACTACAAGCAATACCCAAAGGATTCTACATTTAAGCAGTAAGTACAAGTTGCTTCTTTAGCGAAGACGAGCCTGCTTTGAATTTACAGCCCAGAAAATAAAGGGCCAGATTTAATAGACACCTCCACAAAGCAGGGTGCAATACAGTATCTCTGAGTGAGATTCTTGCTCTGAGGAGCTCCTTTGTCCAATGATGTATATTTAGGTATGTCTATATATAGGCACATATGTGTAGTTTTGCTTTCATTCCTTAATACAAAGGTTCCTCCACTAAACTGCCCTAAACTACTTATTTAAGAAATATATTTCTTTTGACATTTTTATGGCATTGCATTCACAAGCAGAAAAACAACATATATCACTCCTCTGTGGTAGGCAGAAGTGACCAAAATTAACAAAAGTTTCATTAACTTATTTTATTGGAAAAAAGTTTGTACTACCTCTGCACAGTTGTGCTGTTCCCTCTTTCCATACCATGTCCATCTTCCCCATTTCTCAAAAAATCCTACCACAAAAGCAACAATAAAACCTCCACCAAACAAAAATCCCATTTTTGCCCCCTGAAGAGCCTCAGGCAAGTAAGCCTTGCCTGTCTGTTATCTGTTTTCATTGGTAACTACTGCTGTGATCTGAAAGGGTAACATGGCAAGAATTTTTTCCAAGTGGCTTTTGGCCCTTGTGTGTTAGCTGGCATATTGAGGCATGAAGGCCATTTGCTAGGGGCCAAAGGGGAGACATAGAAACATTTATTTACATGTGACTGAAGTCTGTCTGTCTGCCTGTGAACGGAGAGTTGATGCACAAACTGACACAGCACAGCTTTTGTATGTTTAAAAGTGTTTTATGCAGTGACAAACAAAGCAAGAATCTTACAAGAACAAAGCCCCTGGTACCAGGGCACAAGGCTAGGAGAGTTTTCTGCTATGTTCTGTTGCATCCCTGCTTAGAAGAAGTTCTAGCAGGTAGTCTTACACTCAGTGCATGGAGTCACAGGCTTCATCTTCAAGAGCTGACAAAGTAAGTAACCAAAACTTACTGATGTTTTAACAGACCAGTGCAAAATGACCATTCCAAAATCCCTTTTAGTTTGTACATCTGTCCTATGTTGTCAAACATGAGAAAATATGTATCCTCTTAAGTCATACACGTTACTGTTGAAATCAGAAAACAGTA